ATTTGAATCTCGAGATTTAAAACTCGAGATTGTAATCTCGAGATTTAAACCTCGAGATTTGAATCTCGAGATTTAAAACTCGAGATTGTAATCTCGAGATTTAAACCTCGAGATTCTAATCTCGAGATTTAAAACTCGAGATTGTAATCTTGAGATTTAAACCTAGAGATTCGGATTTCGAGATATTGCCTTAGAATTTTGTTTAAAATCCACCTGCTCTCGATATTCATCATCGAGAACCTCAACTTCGAAGAAATTCCTCAAAAACTCAAAAATTCGAGATTTTCTGTGACACCGCACTGTTTTGGCCATAACTTTTGACTCGGTGATCCGATTTGAGCAAACTTTTTTTTGTTGGAAAGCTAACAAAAAGATATACATTAATTTTTGAGCTTTGTCCCAGAACACTTTCTCACGCGCCCTCACTCGCAGTCTTTGAGGGTCAAAATGTTAGTTTTCCAACAAACATCGTAAATCACCGATGTCCAGGAAAAACTTAGGCAAATCTGTTCAAATTCTTTCAAAGTCAACCCTGAGGTCAAACATTTTCTAAACCTAACTGTAAAGGTCCGAAAGTCGTAGATAATTCAATCAATCTCGCGTCAACGGTCATCTTACAACAATCAACAATCAACCACTGAAGCCTCCTCTGACTCATCAACATTATGTGATCATCAATATGCTGAAATTCTACATGATGAGCTCAGGGAAACCGTCATGTGTGGTACTTGTTTAGATTGCCCCACACACATGGCGGGTATGACGAGTTGTGAGCAATCAAACCTTGCACATTCTGAGGGGGAGTTTCAGTTTTCTCCTCCTGGCGCTTTACACCGACAAAGCAAGGAATCTCTCAAAGGATGTAACATTTTAGGGGGAGTGTTTAATGTTATCCTCCCCGATGCCTAACAATGACAAAGCATACCGAGTGCTCCAGTTGAGGGGGAGTACGGAGAGAAAATGAAGAAAGTAATGAGAGAACATGTCCCTATGGCTTAGTAAACCCAACTAAGCCTACCCAAGGGACAAAGCCGAGCGTAAGTGAGTGAGTGAGCGAGTGAGTGAGTGAACATTATGAGCATTAGGAAGAAGAAGGCTCAAGTGAGCAAGAAAACAATAATCACTGATAAGTCTGCTACCTCAACTGCCTACTATCCATTGAACATTTACTCCTAGCCACTCAAATACTATGGACTATCCCCATAGGTTCAGGACTGAATTTATTCAGATCCCGGGTAGAAGACGCTGCATTTTGTCCAAACGGCGCATGCACAACCCTACCCTTAGACCACTCACTTGTCTCCCAACAGACATGTGTTTAATCATATTTCACGGGGAACCGCATCTCTCATTACTACCTCCTTACGAGGCAAGCAATACTGACTACAGTGGCCTCAGCCCCATGCCACTGAACTTTCATTGATCACGTCGTGTCTAGTTACCTCACTCCCAAATGTTTTGAAATTTCTAGGACACAGACGCACTTTTTGAGTCAGTTGCAGGTCTTCAAAGACCCGCGAGAACTTCCATAGGTCTCATCTATTGCAGATGTAGACTAATGATTGGAAGGAAGTCACGCTGTTGCAACATAAGAATCACCAACATTTTCAGGCCATCACTTTAGAGTTTATCTCTATAGTGATGAAAATGGGTGTCTACACGACCCCAGGGGGCTTTTATCATTTACTCTTTCTGTTTGTTTCCTGTTTTATTTCCGCAGAATAAAAGAATAAAAGCATGACGTCCTGATTCATCGGATCGTCATGAGGGGGAGAGTGGTCCACATGCTGTTAACACTGAACAAATCATTCTGGGACACTTCACTCCTCCATCACAAAAATCAACACCTTCTCTGCTATCTCTACAACTCAAATCAAATGGTCAGCTACACTCACAAATCAACAATCATTATGTTCCGCTGTGCCACCGACAAGTTCTCCTCAAATGCATTCATTCCAAATAGTCAAAAAACTACATTGTGGAGGAGACAGAGGTCAAATACTCGTGTCATGAAGATGAATTCCATGTGCGTCTCCTATTCTCCAAAGAATATTCATTCTAGAGGCGTCACCGGACTTCATCCAAGCTGATCAAGAGCAACTTCTGGAAGGCAAGGACTACATGCAAGATTTTGAAGATACTTCAACCCCCGGCATCAAAGATCAAATTGTCAAGAAGACATCAAAGGGGATATTGCAAGGATTTCTTCAGATAGCCTTCCTCAGAAGTCAAGTTCAAAGACAAAGGAAGCTGAATAACAACAAAGATAAAGATATCTGCGCTGCAATGCTGATTCAACACGATTGAACACCAAGGGGGAGATTGTTAGGAATATTTTATGGTGTCCAATCTAATTAAATATCTTTGTATTTGTGTAGTTATTAATTAAACGTGTAATACGGGCCACAAATGTGTATCAGCCTGGGGGCTTCTTTGTAACCCGTAAGTTAGCCAACTTCTCCTATAAAAGGAGGCTAACTTACGGGAACCCTAACGATTGTATAGAGGCTTTAGAGACGCAGAGGCGAGATAGAAAGAAGGGTTTCCGCTGCTCTCCTTCTCCAGGGAGAGCAGCGGGGTTTCATACGGTATACCAGATTCGTGTATAATATCGACATATCTTTCTATCTACTTCTTCTTAACTGCTTTGGTTGTTTGATTCTTTTGTATTTTGGGACAATCATTAATGTCTAACTCAGACAAACATTTTTGAATAATTACCACTTTTGGCCAAGACATTCAAGTAGGAACTCCCTTTTGTATACAATAGAAGTTTATTCATATAAGCAACAACTGATTTATAGATTTATTAGGGAAGAAGTCTTAACGACCAAACGAAACAAGTTTTACAAGTTTTTTCATATCGAGAAACCTAATTATTACAAAGCATTTTAGTCAAGCTATTGGATTTGTGGTACATCTCAATATATCATATTAAGCAAGCTTGGTACATATCATATTCATGCTTTCAACATCTCTGTCTGCTCCTTTTGCCAATTTAGAAGTTTAACCATCCCGTCGTCTATTGTTTTCATTCTTCAATCAAACTTTTGCATCTTCTTGGATTGGAGCACGACTGTATCCTTTATGTTAAGCATGATTAATGTATTCTTTCTTTGGTTTCAACAAGTTTTCTTCTCTTAGGCAAACTATTTAATCTCCGTAGTCCACTTAAAATTGCACACTTGGCATTTTGTTCCTTCATGCCAACATCTTGTTAGTCAGGGCAATCAAAGTGTGCAGCTTTAAACGACTTTTGTTGATGTCCAGTCCCACATTCATGGACTTCACCATCTTCTCGATTATTTCCATCAATGCAACCATTTGTTCTCTGTTTTGGTGGCGCAGGTTTCAAAGTAAGATGGCTTGATACGACAGACTCATTCACCTTTTTGCATAATGTGTTTAACATTGGAATTTTAAGCTCATCCTCACTTGATTGCATTTTCTGATATTCAAACTACGGCACATAAGAGAAAATATGCATACCCTAAGTTAGTGCACATCACAAAGCAACAATTTACATTACATACAATACAGACATTAAAAACAATTTTATGTATTCATTCAAAAATATGACATATGCTCATGTCGCACCATTTGTTTTCTTTGGTGCAGACCACTTCAGCAGACTAGAAAACATTTTTTTTCTTCCTCTAAGTTACAAACATGTGTCATTTTAAGAAATGAGAAACTTTCATATGCCCATATTTACAATGCAAAAGTAAAACCTGCAAAGGTGAATCTATGCTTTTTTGTCTTTTTAATATTTTCTCTCCACCTGGACATTTTATCCAATGAATCTTCCCAGATTTCATCTCTCCAAGGGTACCGGTTCACTAATTCCATATTATCTACCATGTTGATGTAGATTGCTAGACATTTAACTTTCTTTTGGTTTCCAACTATGTAATTGGAAATTAAATCGAGTGTAGCGAATTTCTCTCCTTATATTTCATTATATCTCTCTTGCTTTGTAGACAATATATCCGAGAATCAATCCATTGAAAAATTTATATTTACTTTTCTCTAACAAAGTCATTATTGAATAGATTAATTACCTGACCAGATTGAAGCATAATTTCCTTTTCCTTCTCCGTTTTATTGGGACTGACTTTGGCATCTTTGTTCCGAAATCACTGTTAGAGTTTCCTTCCTCTGCATTTTCTTCGATCCTTTCTTTCTCTTTGCCATTTATTGCTTAGAAGTTCTTCGTCGGAAATTCCTTCCGTTCTTCGTCGGAATTTCCTTCCGTTCTTCGTCAGAATTTCCTTCCATTCTTCGTCAGAATTTCCTTCCATTCCTCGTCGGAATTTCCTTTCCGTTCTTCGTTGGAATTTCCTTCCATTCTTCGTCTGAATTTCCTGCAATTGTCTTTTCCGTTTAAGCTTTCTGCGTTTTTCTCTGTTAGACGGTGAGGCCTGGCAGTTTGAAAGGAAATTCGATTCCATTGAGTCGTGGTCTGCTAATGGAATTAAAAAGTAAGGGCATTATGGTCAAAGCAAGTACAGTTAAGTCTTACGTTAAGATGTAATCCTAATTTGGGAAAGTTAGTATGTTTAGGTCCTATTTGTAAAATTTTCCATAATCTTCCTCCCCAGTCAATGAAATGGCCTTTGAAGAGTCAGATTCCATCTGAAAATTAACACAGCCTTATTTCGTCGATGTGTTAACAAGCATAATGTAAAGCCTTGAGCTCTGCATCGAGTAAGGAATCCACTGCAAAGCGGATTAATGTGTTGCACGATAGGGCCGTATTTAATGTGTCTTATGTAACTTAACCATCATGTATTATTTGCTTGGTTCTTTTGTTGTATTTGAAATCCATACACTTGTTTGATAATCTTAATGTTACATCAAATGAATGGTTGTATAATTTAAACTTAAACATGTAAGAAATGATATCAAAAATAATACTAGGGACTCTTCGATGGACAAAAATTTGACCAGATTTTAATTTGGACAAAAAAGAGAACTTATTAATGAATGGACTCAAAAGCCCCTAATAAAAATAAAACAAATACTTCCTCTGGTTCCAAATAAAATTCACACTTTGACTTCACATAAGTTAATGAAATAAATTTGACTTTACTGTAGAGTACATTGTTGTGACACTGTTTGACACTGTTTTGATATAGATAATTTGCCAAATAAGGAAGCAAGAAGAAGTGTGAAGTTTATTTTGGACCTACCCAAAAAAAGGACGTGTGAATTTCATTTGGAACCGGAGGTAATAAAACAAATAACCCTAAACTATCTCCCAACTACAGCTGCCCTCACGATAAAACTATCTGTCGACCATCTTCGCCAAGTAACAGTGTAGCACTGTGAGCTTCTGCATTGATTCTTCATGAAATTCGTCTGACCATCTTCTTCGACTTGCACCGACACATCCAACGGTGGAGAGCTTCTTCCATTAGTGGCATTGATGGCGTTGCCGAGCTTCGCCGATCTTGTAACGTGATTTGTCGATCTAGTGCTAGCTTCATCGATTTGACATGAGCTTCGGCGATCTATCACAAGGTTCATTGATATGTCGCGAGCTTCAACAATGGCCATGAGTTTATCGGATCCAAAGACACACGTCCGATGAATTCTAATGTCCATCTGGGTTTTTTCTGTATGGACTTAGGCACGGGGCAGGTGGGTCAAGGGAGAGATTGGACAGTGGCTTGGGAGGGTTTGGGGTAGGCGTAGAGCAGACAGAAGGGAAGGGACAGTTGACGGTGGCAGGTAACTATTGTTAGTTGGTGACAGTGGTGGATTCCCGTGGTGGTTTCCGATGGTGTTTGGCCGGCTGAGGCAATTCGGTGGTGACTAAGATTTTATAACCCTAAATTGTTTGCCGGGTAATTGTAACAGGTTGAATTGGGTAAATGTAACTGGTTGAATCGGATAACTATGACACATAGAATCGGGTTACTATAACTGCTCAGTCGGGTAACTATAATTGATCGTGCAGGTAAATGTAACTGGATGAATCATGTAATTGTACTGAATGGGTTGGGTAATCGTAATTGGACGGGTCAAGTAATTGTAACAGAACAGGTCGAGTAACTATAACTGGACGGGTCGGGTAATTGTAACTGAACGAGTTAGGTAATTGTAACTGGTAGGGTAATTGTCACTGGACGGGGAACGTTGGTAACTGGGTGGAATTTTTTGTCACTAAAGATTTTGGTCACTGAAGAATTTTTAAATTTTGGTCACTAAGGATTTTTGTCATTGAAGAATTTTTATAACTGGGTGGGAGCCTTTGCGGCACTGGGGTAAATGAAAATGAAAAATGAAATGGTCACTAATGATTTTTGTCATTGACGGATTTTGGTCACTACAATGTTATCGGTCTCTGTGACATTACTGTAGCACAAATGGGTCAGATTTTGGGTCTGATTGAAAACAGCTGCATTGACTGCAAATGTTTGAAAAGCCTGAAAAGACTGAATTCGCTGAAGTGAATGTGTTTGGTAATGTTTTGGCTGAAACGATTGATTGAGTGTAAAATTACTATAAAGGATATTAGATTATTTGTGTTAAATATTTGCGTGAATTTTACTAATAAACTAATTTTGTTTGATTGCGCAATAACAAGACTACTTAAATAATTGATTAGTTTGGAAATTTCATTCTTACTCTTACGTCGAATTTTATATTGTTTTAAACAACTACTTTCCGAAAAATGCGTAGTTTCGAATGAGCGAAATTAGTACTCCCTCAGTCCTAAATTGTAAGATACATTTACTATTCACTTGGTCAACATAAATCACTCTTAATCTTTTACTTTATATATCAAAAGTTTAAGAAATTTGAATTATTTTTTGTAGGTTTTGTAGCGGTTTTAATGTAGTTTCTGAATATGTAATTTTTTTTTTAACTAATTTGAGTGTTCACAGGGATCAATTTGCTTTATCGTCGGTCAAACATCGTAAACCGTAAAGTATCTTACAAATTGGCACGGAGGGAGTACTATATTTTGTGAGTAATATGAGTAAATTAATTTAATAAATGTACTTTTTCTAAAGTATATTAAAAAATTGACATGCATTTAAATTAAAATAAAATGAAGCATACAATTCATACAAGTATTAATTAGAGTTCATTATGTCTCTGAAAAAACATTAAACAAAGAAAATACATAATAGAACACGTGCAATCGCCATTAGTGTTCCTGAACTTAATCTCCCGAACTTAAGAAAATACATATTGCAGAAATAGTTGATTTCATTTCATGTTAATCTCCCAAACTTAACAATGTTTTATCACCATTAGTTTTCCAATCTTCTAGCTTTACGAGATCTCAAACCGAGAAGGCTAAGAACTTAATCTTCCAAATTTTTTAAAATTTAAATACAAAAGCCTCTGCTCACATAGGCACATTGCAATTATTTGTTCACTGATAAGGCATGAAGATTTAAGACTTGATGTATACTTGCATTTATTATGTATATCAATCTATTTACTAAGATGACATAAATAATTTCATAAGGATTTCACGTAGATTCAAGACAATTAGGAAATAGAATTAGTGATGAAAACTTGCTCTTTGATGAAACCATTGGATAACGATGAATGAAAAGATGAATTTCAAATAGATGGCGCAATGGAGCAGGAAGTCGTCGATCCACTATGGCGGTATGATGCAGCCGTGGAAGAGCTTCTCATCGTCGTCGATCTGGAAGGAGAGAACAATGGCTTGCGTTGTTTAAGGTGTAACGATGTATTAGACACAAAAAAAAAGATGTATTAGACGCAAGATGAAAGGATAAAGAAGTATTTTGGGATGTGCAATGGTACATTAAAAAAATCCAGCTCAAACAGCCCATTTGGCTTGTGTTTGGCTGCTTTTCAGCCCATTTTAGGCCTCCAAACACCCTCTTTATTAATACAAGGGTGTAATGGTCTCCTAACCTCTTTTTAGTTTCATTTTTGAAAATTAGAAAAAATGTCACTTTTTTGTCGATGACTCTTTTTTAAATGTTAGGTACAAGAGTTTTGAAGTCGTGCTACATGATGTTCGATGAACTTTATTGTCAATTTCAGTCCACCACTAATGAATGTGACATAATTGAAAGCCTTGTAATTAGTTAAAAAATTGAGTTTAAAATTAGATACAACATGAAAAATTTAGATACATGATAGTATTAGATATAATCATTCATTTTGGATAAAAAAAGATATAATCATTCATTCAACCATTTGGAGTTAATTAATTTGTTTTTACTTCTTGCGGTACTTGGAGAAATAATATTAGGTATAGTGCGGATTTTTTCATCTCTATGTGTATCGGAAATTAGTGATGTCCTTAATAATTCAAATAAATATCACATAATTTTTCAATAAATGATCAAAATATTAATCTGCGGTAGTATAAAATCTGTCACATTCTGTTTTCGAATGTATACTTCATCAATTGTTTTATTGTATTACTTTTGTGGAGTATATCATCCCTATATCTAATTTCGATTTTTCCTACTGAAAAATATAAAAACACATCTACTATGTTAAGTATTTCTTGACTTTAATTTTCTCAATAGTATGTGTATTAGTGGGAATATGTGTGTACACCAATAAAAATGAGTTTTTCCTTAAAAATAATTGAAATAAAATAAATTTATGAATAAAAATGTGATTAAAATCTTCATGAGTATGACTTCACGATCATTATACTCACTACAAATTACTAATATGATTAATGTGTATGTGAAGTCACTCCACCGTGTTTACTTTAGTTGTATATAAGTCACTATCTCAACAAATTTATTATTTTTTACTACATATATTCTTTAGTATTTACCATTAGATAGACGTAGGGTCTTTGACATGGAATAATGACAAAAATATTACTATCAGCTTTTCCTCAGACATAAATGTGCTACCTTTTAATTTGAACAAAAAGAGACTAATTAAATGTAAATAGTTGATAGATTATACTTCGTATATCTAGAGAGAAGGGAGAGCTAGAGAGAGTAGTGCAATAATAATTCTTTGCAATAAATGATTCGTCAACCCCTACAACTACTCCAGAGGAAGTATTTATAGGGAAAATTCGGACTGGGCTACCAAGCCTTGGGCTTGGGAGACCCATTTACAACAGGGCCTCTAATGGGCCAAATACAAAGTGCCTCTAATGCAAACAGAACTAGTGAAGTGATTTTGCCAGTATGGAAAACATTAAGAACGTTACGGGAAGAAACGAAAATTAAATCGTAGTTTCGAATGAGCGAAATTAGTACTCCCTCAGTCCTAAATTGTAAAATGCATTTACTATTCACTTGGTCAACATAAATCACTCTTAATCTTTTACTTTATATATCAAAAGTTTATGAAATTTGAATTATTTTTTGTAGATTTTGTAGCGGTTTTAATGTAGTTTCTGAATATGTAAATTTTATTTTCTAAAACTAATTTGAGTGTTCACAGGGATCAATTTGCTTTATCTCGGTCAAACATCGTAAATCGTAAAGTATCTTACAAATTGGGACGGAAGGAGTATTATATTTTGTGACTAATATGAGTAAATTAATTTAATAAATGTACTTTTTCTAAAGTATATTAACAAATTGACATGCATTTAAATTAAAATAAAATGAAGCATACAATTCATATAAGTATTAATTAGAGTTCATTATGTGTCTGAAAAAATATTAAACAAAGAAAATACGGAGTACATAATAGAATAAGTGCAATCGCCATTAGTTTTCCCGAACTTAATCTCCCGAACTTAAGAAAATACATATTGCATAAATAGTCGATTTCATTTCATGTTAATCTTTAAAACTTAACAATGTTTTATCACTATTAGTTTTCCAAACTTCTAGCTTTACCAGATCTCAAATCGAGAAGGCTAAGAACTTAATCTTCCAAAAATTTTAAAATTTAAATACAAAAGCCTCTGCTCACATAGGCACATTGCAATTATTTGTTCACTGATAAGGCATGAAGATTTAAGACTTGGTGTATACTTTCATTTCTTATGTATATCATTCTATTTACTAAGATGACATAAATAATTTCATAAGAAATTCACGTAGATTCAAGACAATTAGGAAATAGAATTAGTGATGAAAACTTGGTTTTTGATGAAACCATTGGATAACGATGAATGAAAAGATGAATTTCAAATAGATAGCGCAGTGGAGCAGGAAGTCATCGATCCACTATGGCGGCATGGCGCAGCCGTGGAAGAGCTTCTCGTCGTCGTCGATCTGGAAGGAGAGAACAATGGCTTGCGTTGTTTTAGGTGTAACGATGTATTAGACGCAAAAATGAAAGGGTAAAGAAGTATTTTGTGTTGGTCCCGTTTAGGCTAGGAACAGTCTAGAGGGGGTGAATAGACTGTTTAGGATTTTTCAAACTTTTCTCAAAGTCACAAGTGACTTGTCAGAGATGGTCTAATTCTGGTAACAGAGAGGGCCGAGTTCTGATGACAGAACTGGGCCTGGCAGCGCATAGTTCTCTGGTTAGGTAGCCTCACGAAAACATTAAGGCAAATGCCTTTCTGTCAACTCTCAAGGAAGTTCTGCTGGACACAGAATCCAAACCTCTCGAGTTAAGCAGTAAGAATCTAAGTACAGAAAGTAAAAGCGTAAAGTAAACGACACCAGGGATTTTTATAGTGGTTCAAGGAACAACGTGTTCCTCTAGTCCACTGTTCCACTAAGCTTGTATGTTAACTGTTACAACGCCTTAGTCCCTAGAACTTAAGAAGCTCTCCACATCTTCTTCAAGTCTAGCTGTCACCCGGGATGCTCTTTCTGGCTCTCTGATGACTGGTCTCGTTTCATTGAGTTTTTGAAGTATCCCCACTTCAT